GTTTTGATTTGCGTTTCCCAAATGCTGAGTGAAGTTAAGCATTTTTTCATATGTCTGTTGTCCATTTGTATATCTTCCTTAGAGAATTGCCTGCTTAGCTCTTTTGCCCATTTTTTAATTGGGTTGCTTGTTTTTTTCTTGTAAAGTTGTTTTAGTTCCTTGTATATTCTGGATATTAATCCTTTGTCAGATGTATATTTTGCAAATATTTTCTCCCACTCTGTTGGTTGTCTTTTAACTCTGTTAATTGTTTCTTTTGCTGTGCAGAAGCTCTTTAGTTTGATATAATCCCATTTGTTTATTTTTCCTTTGGTTACTCATGCTTTTGAGGTCGTATTCATGAAGTCTGTGTCCAGACCTATTTCCTGAAGTGTCTCTCCTATGTTTTCTTTAAGAAGTTTTATTGTTTCAGGGTGTATGTTTAATTCTTTAATCCATTTTGAGTTGACTTTAGTGTATGGTGAAAGGTATGGGTCTAGTTTCATTCTCCTGCATATTGATATCCAGTATATACTGGATATATTATCTTTTTATTTCTCTCTCTCTCTCTTTTTTTTTTTTTTTTTTTGGTTGGCTGGCCAGTACAGGATCAAACCCTGGACCTTGTTGTTATCAGCACCATGCTCTAACCAACCGAGCAACTGGCCATCTCTGTATTATCCTTTTAAAAGTGGTTATTGTTAAGTAATAATTTTTAAAAAAATTCACTTAGCCCCTATTTGAAGCTCATGATAATTTTTAAATCTTACTTTTTTTTCACTATCCCTAATGAAAACATGTCATAAATGGAAACAATACAGAGAATTGGCAAATGTTGTCTTTTCTAGTTTTGTCAACAACTACTCTTAGTATCTGGGGGCTGTTGCTGTTACCAGGCTCGTGTCCAGCTGCCTGCCCCCAGAAGAATAAATAAACAACCTAAAGTCAAATGTTAGTGAAAATGGAAGTCAGCTTTTATTTAAGAATAACAGTGATCACAGAAGAGATATTAGGCTAACCCATCTCTCCAGTAAACCTGAAGGAGAATGGCCAAACTAAGCCATCTCAAAGACTTAGATTTGCTGAGAGGTTTTTTAAGAGAGGGCTGAAGGAAAGGAATGTGGGAAATGAAAAGCAAGAGGGAGGGAGACATGAGCTGAAGGGCTCCGTGCAAGGTGCAAGGTCTCGCCAACACTCCATCTGCTTTCTGCTCCCGTCCTTGCTGTTATCTCATGGTCCTGCTGGAGGGGTGAATCAACATAGCTTTATTGATGTATGTGGTCCCTTGACCCTTTGTCACCATATCCATAACATAGGATAATTATTCGAATATCATAAGATGTACTTATTTATTCACTCAATCATTTGTTCAATAAATATGAGGTGTCTACTCCGTGCCAGCCCTTTTCCTGGGTTGTTCTGAGAAGGGAATAACAATGAGAAAGACTCTGTAAGATGTAAAGCTCTAGGCAACTGCTTCCAGTGAATCTTTATTTTCACAGCTCACTAGAACAAATTACCTAAAGAAAGCCACAGCAGGGAGATAGATACAAGGGAAAACTTCTTGGCACTGAGCAGGAAGCTATGGAGGAATCCCTAGAGAGCTTTAGGCAAAAAGATGGTCCTCACGCACTCTGGACTGCAAGTCACCAGTTAGTGGCCAAGAACCCTTCATTTTACAGGTAAGAAAACCAAGGGATGAAAGAGGATGAACTTTTTTTTTTTTAAAAAGATGACTGGTAAGGGGATCTTAACCCTTGACTTGGTGTTGTCAGCACCACGCTCAGCCAGTGAGCGAACTGGCCATCCCTATATGGGATCCGAACCCGTGGCCTTGGTGTTATCAGCACCACACTCTCCCAAGTGAGCCACGGGCCGGCCCGAAAGAGGATGAACTTTGACAGAGGGAGGACTAGAAGCTCCTGAGAATGCGATTAGACTGTGTAAACTCCCTGAATAAGAAAGTCATTCTCAGAAATCCTGAGGCTGCTGGAAGAGAGCTCTGCCTGCAGGCCTATCCTTGAAGGGTTCTTGGCCACTAACTGGTGACTTGCAGTAGGCAAGTCACTTGTGTAATGGAGCATTATCTGCCAGATTTCTAGGATAGGGACTCAGTACCCAAGTTCAGGCTTGGCAGACTGAGGTGGGCACAGTCCCCAGAACTCCAGTGTAGATTAGAGGTTTCAAACCCAATCTTCCAACACCCTTCTGTTTTTCCAGCACTCCCTTTTAATAATAATTGTTTTGTGGTGACTCTTTTACTAATATGATTATGAAAGCCAAATAATTTAGTATTTGAACACTCTAGCCTGGCTGCCCTGGCTGGTGTAAAGAAGTGCCAGATACCTGCAACTGGTCCTGGATCTCTGTGAACCAGTGGCATGGAAGACTGAGAGGCATGCTGTATACGGATGGCTCAGATTCAGATACGGAGTTGCTGGCTCTGGTGTGATTCTCTGAAATGGTAAAAAATCTTAAGGTAAAATTCCAATCCCCCCAACCCCCCCAAAACCCCAACATACATCTTCTTCTGAATTGTCTGGTAGTAACATTCCTGGAGAATACAGTGTATATGAGCCTGGGGTAGTAGATGGTCAATAAATATTCAAGAAATAAAATGACTGAAAAATAAAACACGTTTTTACATGTAATTGCAAGCCCAGATTATAAGCAGGCTTTTCATACATTGGGGGCGTCTGTAGGCTGGCACCTCAGCCCCTCTGCCCCTCCAAGTGACCCTGTCATTGGAACAACCAAAAATAACTCTATTAATTTCCAAAACGCCGGTTTGGGAGGAGCATTGAGAACCATTTGTCTAGAGAACGGGAAGCTGCTGATCTAATCACCAGCGGGAGAAAAAGCAACCCCTCCCTTCCCCTTTCTCGGAAAGCACCAGGTTTCAGAGAAAGACGAAAACAAGGACAGGGAAAATCCCCCTTTCTAACCCGAAGCAGCGCTTTTTGCCCAGAGACTGGTGACGAACGACCCTGAGCTCGGGTTTTGATTGGGCAGTTGAAAAACTTTAAAGGAGGATTAAAAAAGAGAAAAAAACTAGGGCTTTACTCCAGCCGGTGGTGGGAGTTTGCACCGCGACGCCCCGCTTCGTGACTTTGGCTCTCTTGCTGGGCGCCACCGCCAGCCTGGGTGCGCCCACTGTGAGTACCCTCCCCCGCGCCAGCCCCTTCCTTGCGTCTCCCTCCCTATCGTGCAGCTTTCCCTGGCCTGTGGTCCCCCGTCCTCCTTTCCGGCCCTGTGTAGTTCTGCGCGGGACCGGGAAGTTGCAGAAGGCCGGGAAAATTGGAGCTCACACTTCCAACTCTTTTAATGCTGAATTGCTGCCTGGGCAGGATTGGGCGGGACAGGACAAAATATCTAGGTCATTGATGGGCTGCTGGGTGCATGGGTGGGGCCGGGGGATGGTGGGCACTGCCTTCCGGGGCTGCCCACCCTCGTTCTAAGGGTTCTCAGCCCCCGGGCAGAGTGTCGAGGGTAGTGAGCCGGCAAGAAGCAGGTATCTGCAGGGCCCAAGAGAAGTATAGCTTCGGTCAGTAGGTTGGTGCCTGCGGTGGGGCGCTGAGCCTCCTGGGTCCCGCCCATTTTCCTCCTCGGCTGCACGCTTCCCCACTAGGCTCTAGGGCTACGTGTAAATACAGATCGTGTCACACAATATTGTGTAACATATCTGTCAACTTACGGGTTTGTTTATTTTGTTATAATTCTCAAGCCATACACTTAACACATTTCAAATATACAATTCAGTGGGTTTTAGTATATTCCCATGGTTGTGTAACCATCACCTCAACTTATTTTTTTATTTTATTTTTTAAAAAGATGACCTGTAAGGGGATCTTAACCCTTGACTTGATGTTGTCAGCACCACACTCTCCCAAGTGAGCCACGGGCTGGCCCTCATCACCTCAACTTTAAAACATCTTCATCACCCCCAAAAGAAACCCCTTACCCATTAACAGTCACTCCCCGTTTCTCTCAAACCCCCCAGTCCTAGGAAACCACTCATCTTTCTGTCTTTATGGATTTGCTTATTCTTGACATTTCATATTAACAGAAACATACAATATGTGGTCTTTTGTGACTGACTCCTGTTTTCAAAGATCATCCATATTGTAGCAGATACCAGCACTTCATTCCTTTTTTATTGCTGAATAATTCTCCATCGTGTGGACATACTAAGTTTTATCTATTCGTTCATCAGTTAATGGGCATTTGGGTTGTTTCCACTTTTTAGCTATTATGAGTAATGTTGTAATCAATATTCATGTATAAGTTTTTGGTATGGACATAAGTTTTCAGTTCTTTTGGTTATATAGCTAGGAGTGGAATTGCTGGGTTATATGGTAACTCTATGTTAAACCTTTTGAGGAACTGCCAGACTGTTTTCCAAAGCTGCATTCCAAAGCCCAATGTACCATTTTACATTCCCAGCAGTGTGTGAGAGTTCCAGCTTTTCTACATCCTCACCAACACTTATTATCTGTCTTTTTGATTATAGTCATTCTAGTGGGTGTGAAATGATATCTCATTTATGCTTTTGATTTGCATTTCCCTAATTAATGATGCATTATTTAAAAATTTCACAATAATTAATTTTAAAAAAGGATTTACATGCTGAGGTTTTGAGAACTTAAATAACTTCTAGGTCATGGGCCCAAAAGTTGCAGAGCCTAGATTCAATCCAAGTCTCCCTATGGCTAATGCTCAAATCCCTACACCCTCTTTCCTAGAACAGAATTTGGAATAAAACCCTTCAAAACTCCACTTGTTGCCTCTGTTAGAAAGAGAATCCTGGGCAAGATGAACCTGCAAGCAGACTAAATGATTTATTTCTTATTTGCTGTTAGAAACTTGAATGTGTAAAGAGCTTTTTGGTCTCTCCATTCTGACCTTGTAAAAAAAAACAAGTGCTTCTTTGAGATCCTCATAATGGCTCTCGGATGAAGTAGTGACACTTTCTTGGTGTTTAATGATGTTGTGCTTCTCTTCACATAAGTGCCCATTGGCTTCCTCCTCCCCACTACCATCAGGACATAGAATAGGGAGGGGCACTCCGTTTCAAGAGCAGTGGTTTCCAAACTTTGTTTAAATGCATAACTATCAAGATTTTTTGAGTATACATTTTCTTTATATATACTTAATATACTACTATCAATCTTATTTGAGATATTACTAAAGCTTACTTTCTCTCTCTTTTTTTTTTCAGTGAAAAATTCAGATTCAGCTGTCTTTTACGTGGCTCCTAGAAGATTCACCCCCTGTGGGAGCACAGCAGTTGTGGAGGTGGAGACAAGACTGGCACCAGAATCAGAGTTAAAATATATCAGAAAATCTGAGCTCCAAATTCTTGTAAGTCAGCGAGTGACTGACCAACAACTGTGAGACACTGAGGACTTTGACGTTTGCTGTAAACTTTGGCACAGATCACTTCTCTGAAGGCTGAATCCAAAAAGCACAATGAGTAAAAAATATCCTGTGGTAGCACAGTGAATTCCAGACAAACCTGAGAATTTCCTACAGCTGGGGAAGGAGGCCCAACTCCTGAGATGGCCTTGGATGCAGAACTGATAGAACTTGGGGAAAGTGATGAAGTAGTTGACCTCACCCGTGAATCTCTAGAACCTGTAGTGATTGACCTAACTCAACATGACTCTGTTGTGGTTATTGAACAATGGAGGAGGCCAAGGGGAAACACAAGGTCATTCCAAGGCCAAACTGGCAGCTGTGTAGTACGCAGTGATAGAGATGGGTTGATGAGAAACAGAGATGTACATGTGACAAACAGTGCCCACCATAATTCCCCGGAAGAAGAAATTTTAAGTCACAGACTACCTGGTTATATCCAGTGTCAACTTTGCATGGATGGATACTCAGAGATTGAACTCAGTAGACGACACATTTATTCCACAGAATGTGGCCATATCTTCTGTAGTCAGTGCCTATGCACTTCTCTTAAATATACTAAAACTTGCCCAGTTTGTTTGAAAAAAATCAGCTGCCATCAGTACCACCGCATTTATATATGATGTGTGCCTTGTTGCTCAGGACAGACAGACCCTCTGGCTGGATTTTTCCATGTCCTTGTACAGCAACTATGGGTTGCTGGCAGTCAATTCTCTGAGCTTAAAAAGCCTGATTTTAAAAATTTCTATCTCGAGTATATAAAAACTCTTGTTTCTCAAATGCTCTGAGACTGCTCTGTTTCCTTTGGTTTCATGCTTCAGGGCTGGGCTTTGGTTGAGATAGTATGCCAGTTACTGGTGGCCGTCCTCAAAGCAATTTTCCCTTTATTTCTCATAGTCATCAATTTTTAGTTGGCCTGAGCATTTTGGACCACATAAACACGGGCAACATCCTAGAGATGGTGGAGCAAGTAGATGGAAAGAACTTGGGAGACTGACAACTTTTGCAAACTGGAGCCACTGTACACGTTTGGACTTTTACTTGAGAGAGACATAAATTTCATTCTTGCTTAAGCAACCATTATACTGGGTGTATTAGTCAGGTTGACACATGAAATTAACCACAACACTGGGTCTCATTCAGAGCAATGGAAACTTTATTTTAATTAATGGACCAGGCAGGGTGCTGTCTCTGGGTTTCTCTGGATTTCCTGATCCCACTGGAGTGGAAGTAAGTAAGTCCTTTCTGTCCACCTCTCCAACCAGTAGAGTGAAGGAGGATACACAGGCAGACACCATGCCCTGTGAGGATTCCTGGTGGCCTGTGAGGCTAGCCCGTGGAGTTGCCTAGGCACACTGGAACCCAGAGTTGTGGTTCTGTGCTCTCTGACGTGCCAGCCTAGAGAGAGGCTGCCTTCACCCTGACTTTACAGGTGTGCTTTCCTTCCATCACATTGGTCAGCTCATCAACAAGTTGGCATGCTTCTTTGTGAACAAACAATAGCCTGGCTGGGTCACAGACCTTGGAAAGCCACCCTATCCATCCCCCCCACCAGCTCTTTTTTCTTTTGCAGAGAATCACATAGCATTCACAATTCAGCCTGCATTTTATTATTTTTTATTTTTTATTTTTTTCAAAAGATGACCGGTAAGGGGATCTTAACCCTTGGCTTGGTGTTGTCAGCACCACGCTCACCCAGTGAGCTAACCGGCCATCCCTATATGGGATCCGAACCCGTGGCCTTAGTGTTATCAGCACCGCACTCTACCGAGTGAGCCACGGGCTGGCCCAGCCTGCATTTTAGAATGGGAGAGGGAGTGATTTCTGCAGTGCTCTCCCTTTCCCTAAGAATGAAATGTGCAGTAAAACTTGTTCCTTACTTAAAATGGTTGTAGCAGCATTATCTCCCCCATGGAGTCTCAGTTGTGCCAATGGAGCAGTGGTCATCCTTGCATCATGTCAACCCACTCACTGTGTTCTTCGGAATGTTGTCCACGCCCCAGACCTCAGTTACTTGACTTGGTATAGGATATGAAAGATAAATGTGGCATACACCCACCTTTCAGTGGGTTCCTTTTTATGTTCTGAAAGGAAATGAGGGAGAAAAAGAACATGAAAATGAAAAAAAATTGGAAAACATTTCTAAACATTTTTTTTTTGGTGGTTTTCCAGTAAGGGCATCTGAACATTTGACCTTGGTGTTTTGACACCTAGCTTTAACCAAGTGAGCTAACTGGCCAGCCCAAAAGTTCTAAATATTATCTTCCTACATTTCAATATATCATCTTGTGTATCCCACTTTGGAGACTATTAATTGCTCTGTGACATAGCACAGTGTGTCACAAACTTGACTACTGACAGAAACATCTGAAGTACCTATTAAATACAGTTTCTGGGCTGGCTGGTTAGCTCAGCTGGTTAGAACTCAGCCTTATAACACCAAGGTCATGGGTTTGGATCCCTGAAGTGGCCAGCCACAAAGAAAAAAAAAAAAAAATATATATATATATATAAGAAAACAGGTTCTGCTCTTATGTGTATTGTCCATGTGATCTTGATAAAGAACACACCCTAGTTTGCCAGCAGCCTCGCTCCTTCCTATTGTATTCTACCCAGTCCACTTACATATTTAATTTACCTGCCAAGCTCCTGTAGACACTGAGGTTTTGGTCTCTACTTTAGTGGAAAAAAAAAAAATACAGAGGATTCTGACTTTTTAAAAAGTTGAGGTAAATTTTACAGCAAAATGAACTGATCTCAAGTATATAATTAGATGAGTTCGGGTGAACATACATTCATATGAGCAAAATCCCAATCAAAATATATAATTCCATTACCCCAGAAAGTTCCCCTATGCTCCCTTCTAGACAATCCTCATCACCCACAGGCAACCACTGTTCTGATTACTATCATCATAGATTTGTTTGGGGACACTGACTTTTTCGGGGGTATGTGGCTGGACGGTGCAGGGATCTGAACCCCTGACCTTGGTGTTATCAGCACCATGCTCTAACTAAGTGAGCTAACTGGTCAGGCCCTGGGACACTGACTTTCGTTACTTCATTGTCTAGCCCGGATCATCAGGAAGGAAAATTTGATAGGGATTTGGAATAAGAAGTACTGGGTGGGGATCAAGAGTTTGTTTTAGTGGGAGCATGACTTATATTGTTTCTCTTAAGAATTGAAGCAAGTCTTGGGGCCGGCCCAGTGGCGCACTGCTACAGTGCGCCGCTTGGGAAGCGTGGCAGCGCTCCCGCCGAGGGTTTGGATCCCACATACAGACCGGCCGCTCACTGGCTGAGCGAGGTGCGGGAGCAACACCGAGGGTTGCGATCCCGTTGCCGGTCCCGGTCCAGTATGGACGTGACACTGAGGGTTGCGATCCATTGCCGGTCACAAAAAAAAAAAAAAAAAAAAAAAAAAAAAAAAAAAAAAAAGAATTGAAGCAAGTCTTCAGCAAATGGTGCTGGGAAAATTGGACATTCACATGCAGGAAAATGAAACTAGACTCGTACCTCTCACCATATACCAAAATCAACTCAAAATGGATTAAAGAATTAAATATACATCCTGAAACAATAAAATTCCTTAAAGAAAACATAGGGGAAACACTCCAGGAAGTAGAATTGGGTACAGACTTTATGAATATGACCCCAATAGTACAGGCAAACAAAGGAAAAATAAACAAATGGGAATATAACAAACTAAAAAGCTTCTGCACAGCAAAAGAAACAATTAACAGAGCAAAAAGACAACCAATAGAGTGGTAGAAAATATTTGCAAAATATACATCTGACAAAGGATTAATAACCAGAATATGCAAGGAACTCAAAGAACTTAGCAAAAAATCAAGTAACCCAATTAAAAAATTGGCAAAGGAGCTGAATAGGCATTTCTCAAAGGAAGATGTACAAATGGCCAACAGACACATGAAAAATGCTCAACATCACTCAGCACTCAGGAAATGCAAATCAAAACCACTTTGAGATACCATCCCACTCCAGATAGGATGGCTAATATCCAAAAGACTGAGAATGACAAATGCTGGCAAGGATGCAGAGAAAAAGTAGCCCTCATACACTGTTGGTGGGACTGCAAAATGGTTCAGCCTTTATGGAAAATGGTATGGAGTTTTCTCAAACAATTACAGATAGATCTACCATATGATCCAGCTATTCCACTGCTGGATATAACCAGAGGAATGGAAATCATCGTGTCAAAGAGATACCTGTACTCCCATGTTTATTGCAGAGCTATTTACAATAGCCAGGAGTTGGAACCAGCCCAAATGTCCATCATCAGATGAGTAGATAAGGAAACAGTGGTATATCTACACAAGGGAATACTTCTCTGCTATTAATAAAAAATGAAATACTACCATTTTCAGCAACATGGATGGACTTAGAGAAAATTATATTAAGTGAAATAAGCCAGGCACAGAAAGAGAAATACCACATGTTCTCATTTATTTGTTGGAGCTAATAAAAATAAATAAGTAAATATACAAACGAAAGGAGGTGAGGGGGAGAAGACACAACAATCACAACAATTCCTTGATTTTGTTAAGACAAGTGAACAGATATGATGTTGATGGAGGGAGAGGGGAGAGAGAGAGGGAGAAAAGGGAGTAATTGGTGAAGGGACACGAAAATCAACTATATTGTATATCGGTAAGTTAAAATAATATTTAGCTATGTTCCAGGCACAGTACTAGGCACTTCACACATCATAGGCAGTCAAGATAAAAATCTAGGCAAGAGCAGGAACCCAGTAGGAACATAAGTTGAGGGGAGCTGCCACAGGGCATATTAACATGAATAATTTGGTGTGACTATTGTACATGGCTGTGTGAAGAAGTGAGAACTAAAAATAAAAAAGATTGTGAGTAGAGCATTGTGTGCTGTTATAGAGTTTAGATTTTATTCTACCGGTGCTAAGGAGCCATTAAAGGTTCTGGGAGAGAGCTTCTAGAGAAGGATTCTTATGGGTTCAGCATGATCTCTGCAAAGTCTGAAGATACTGTTTGAAAGTTGGGGGAAAAAGTCGAGGTGGAATTAGATAGGAAAGATTCTGATGTAATTTTCCTTTCAAAGGTGAATTTTATGTAGTGTATAAAAAAAGATTAAGTAACTTTGATCTGAGGAATTTGGTACTATGCTGATGTGCTCCTGCCCTTGGATGTCTAAGCCCTTAGACAAGCCCTTGAGGGCTGTGCAAGCCCTTGAGCTGCGGCAGCTTTTAGGAGATGGTTATTGGTCTGAAGTGGCAACCATAGGAGTCGGCTGGGGCAGGAGGGGTAGCTGTGGCAGTTAGTATTTAGCTTTCAGGTACCTTTTTGTAAAAGTGAAGGCTCATTTGGCTTGAGGAGAAATGAGATTAGGGGAGGTGGACAATCAAATTTATCCACTTGATGTCCAATCTAGCTTTAGATCACAAACTAGCCACACAGTGAAATAATCTGGCAATTTTCGTATGTCTTTTCCTGATGTTCACTGAGGTTACACAGCAGAGAATGAAAGCCAAATTTCTTTTTTTTTTTTTTTTGTCTTTTTCCATGTCTGGCAACGGATCGCAACCCTCAGTGTCGGCCCCGCACCGGACCGGGCCCGGCAACGGGACCACAACCCTCGGTGCTGCTCCCGTGCCTCGCTCAGCCAGTGAGCGGGAACCGGTCTGTATGTGGGATCCGAACCCTCGGGCGGGAGCGCCGCCGCGCTTCCCAAGCGGCGCACTATCCAGTGCGCCACCGGGCCGTCCCGAAAGCCAAATTTCTTTTTTTTTTT